CCGTGTTACACATATCAAGCGAGAAGCTATGACCTGGCCGAATCTGGCCAGGTCATAGCTATGACATGGCAGTGAGCTATGACCTGGCAGTGAGGCAAAGGGAACTGTGCTGGACTGCAAGGGTCAGCAGTGCCAGTGTGAGTGGAGACGAGGACGGCGCAAGTACCTGTTTCCTTTTTGGCCATTTGAGCATAAAAGATGTTATTAACCCTTGTATCGCTCAGGGCTAATTAGCATTTGTCACCCACAGGCGCATATAAAAAAAAATATATATATATTTTTTCTTCTAAACCTGTTAATTTGTGTTCTCTGATCATGGGAAAAATAATAAAAAAACATAAGTGGCATATATTGCCCGCTATAGGGCGGGGAAGTCTGGCAAAAAACAGGCGCTGACTTAGCGTGCGTCCCAGAGGGTCTGTTGCTCCCAGCTGTCAGGCAGGAGTGGCCACAAAGAGATAATTACCAAATTATTTCAATGTCTCGCTGTACTCAAAAATATAGTGTGCATATTGTTGATTCAATTATTATGTTCATCAAACAGTGAACAAATACTTTGTCGGTTATTACACTATATACACAGGTTATATATAAGTATCTGCATGTTTTGTTCACCATAACGGACCACTAAGTTGGTATTATGAGTCATAAAGCAACGAGGAGTGACCGCCACACACCAGCCAGCCACTCGCTGCCACTCACTACCTCAACACCTCACTCGCCCACATTCTCCTCCCACCATACTGTTTTTGCTTTTATTCACTATATACAGACGTTATATATAAGTATCTACATTCGTGTTCACCATAACGAACCACTAAGTTGGTATGCTGAGTGGCAGTGGCAGTGGCAGCCAGTGGTAGCCCGCCACTGGCTGTCACTCCCTCCCTCCCTCACCTCACCTGACTCGCCACCATTCTCCTCCCACCATACTGTTTTTGCTTTTATATACAGACATTATTTATAAGTATCTGCATGTTTTGTATACCATAGCGACAACTAAGCTGGTATAGTAAGTCCAGACAGTAAAAGGTGGTCACACAGAGTCAGCAGACAATGCTACCTCCCTCCCCACCAAGATTACTCCTCTCACTACAGCACTAATTATCACAACAATCTTGCTATTATCAGGCGATGAGTCACAATAACGTGGCTGAAGTATGTTGACCAGACCACACACTAGAAGTTGAAGGGACGACGTCATTTCGGTCCGTCCTGGACCATTCTCAAGTCGATTGTGATGAGGAGGTAGAGACAGGCAATAAATATTATTGCTATTATCAGAATCCTGGTCAGTTTTATCACAGTCAGGGGTCTTCTGTAATAATATCGCTAAATAATAGCATGAACATGTATATTATGACATTTTTAGGCGATGCTTTGGTCACACGCTGAACAGCAGTGCTATGAGCTCATGCTGCGTGCATCAGGCTTGGTGGCTCACTCAATACTGAGGCCCTCACCCGGGAATTTGGCCCACGATTTTTTTTTTAAATGATGTCTGTTTACAAGAGCCCTGATGAAGGCGAGGTGAACCCCATGTATCCGCCGGCTGTTTAAATCTTGCGTAGTACTCCAATATATCATATGATAGGATGCACAATTTATAGCAAGTCACCCAACCCATCATATGATGTGTTGCGCAACTTAAGGGTCAAATATCTCGCCATGGGTCCCAAGAAAGCCAGTGGTAAGGTTCAAGGCAAGAAATCACATGTGAGAATGATCATAGAGGAGAAAAAGAGATCATTCACTGCAAGCACCCCCAAGCATGTGGGTGCTTGGGTCCCAGTGTTGTGTGGGGTGCTTGGGTACCAGTGTTGTGTGGGGTGCTTGGGTCCCACTGCTGTGTTTCAATGACAATGTGATGCCTCACTACAGACAAATTTTGCGAAGAAGGGAAATACAACCTTCAATGGATCGTTTCATTGTGAGAAAATCAAGCAGTGAGCCACAACCAGGACCTAGTGGTATGCAGGCAAAACGTGCCAGAGTGCACTTCAGAAAAATCTTTACTGCCTGATGTTATAATGGAAGGGGACTCCCCTTCCAAACAGTAACACCTCTTCTCCCCCCTCTTCACCATCTTCCATACACCAACAGAAGTCATCAGCAAGGGTATCTTGGTTATCTTGAGATGATTTCGGGGCTTTAGTGTCCCCGCGGCCCAGTCCTCGACCAGGCCTCCACCCCCAGGAAGCAGCCAGTGACAGCTGACTAACATCCAGGTACCTATTTTACTGCTAGGTAACAGGGGCATAGGGTGAAAGAAACTCTGCCCATTGTTTCTCGCCGGCGCCTGGAATCGAACCCAGGACCACAGGATCACAAGTCCAGCGTGCTGTCCGCTCGGCCGACCTAATAACTTGAACATACTTTTGTAGTGAAGATTTGAGTGAATTGGGTATAAAATTTACTTTGAAGTGAAGTTTTTGGGGAGTAAGGAACGGATTAATTCATTTCCCATTATTTCTTATGGGGAAATTAGCTTCAGTTTACGAATTTTTGGGTTACGAACCGTCTCCAGGAACGAATTAACTTCTTAAACCAAGGTACTCCCTGTATTCGAGTACAAATGCCAAACAATGTTTATTAAAACATACAAGTAAATTTATAAATTAGAACTGCCTTATTCATTGTCGATAACTTCAACTTCAATTATATCTATAACTAGAATTTCAAATTACAGTACTTCAGTATCCAAAAATCCAGTTTCTGACCGATTCTCACCATTTTTACATATAGTGTGCACAGCTGTCTGTTCTACAATCCCTATAAAATTGATTTTTCATAAACCCTAAACGTTTGAAGTTATAAAATTTTGTTGTTTAAATTTGCGCATACAGTATTTCAAATGCCATATTGACGAATTTGTTTTACAGTAAACTATATACTGAAAACCTATATTCTAAATATATGATAATGAAGATCATATGGTATTCTGAGAGCATAATAACACCAACTGAACAATTGGTGATATTTTACATTTTTACAGCTGATTTCAAAATCTGAAATTTTCAATATTCAGTTTTATAATTATTGTTTATTTTCTTGTTTTTCAAGTTACTTTGGTATCATTTAGACAAAGTTGGAGCATTTGCTTAGTAGTTTATACACAAAACATTTAACCACCGTGCTGCGCCGAGTTTATTGTGAAATTCCCCCGGTGTGCATGAAATAAAGTGTTCCTAAAAAATTCTTTTTTCTTTGTAAAATGATAAATTCCCTTCCCTGAACATGTTTATGTAAAAATAAATACCAAATTCCACTTACTTTGGCTGTAGGGATTTGGACAAGATGCGCTGTGACGTCATCAGGGCCTGGTCGCCTGTACGTGAATCGCCCAGACACGGTCGCGCGGGCCATTCAAGCACCGGGTGTTGCCACAAATATATTTTCAATTATTTGTTTTATGTATTTCCAATGCGGTTTTGTTTCTTTTAATCTTACATGATGCATACTTATGTCCTTTACAATATGTATACAGTAGAATGTTCATAATGTTCCCATGAACTTTGATACATGTGTCAGTAATGTGTCCACAATAAATGTTTATTGTCGCAATATTACCTGTTAAAAATTCACTAAAATTACAATATGTACAGTTTCACACACTATTTACACAGTAACACACTGTATTACACACTCAGTACTTCGGAAGTGAGTAATAATCAACGAAGTAGTCCATGGCACACAGCGCGACTTCGCTCTCGGTGAACCAGGTACATATAAATTTTCGCTTCCTGTTTCTTCATTCTGTGTGCTTGCAAATAACGCACTCACGTACACCCTTGGCTTTAGTACTTGTAGGATGTATGTAGCCAAGCTTGTAAAGCATAAGGTAGTATTGAAAAGATTATAGGAAAAGATCAATTTGTAAGGTAGTCTTGAAAAGATCGCTTTGTATTGTCACACACAGGAAGTGAGTCAGCTTACTTCTAGAGTGTCCGTCAGTCAGAAAGAGATTCAGCTAGCCTCAAAGAGTGTCCGTCAGTTAGGAAGAGATTCAGGTATTCTTGAAAATATCTATGGAAAACACCACCATGGAAGCCACTAACACTGTTCATCTATGCTATTTGTATCAGATGCATCATCACTGAACGCAGAAAACAATTCATCTATGTATCATCTAAATAAATTGTAGATAGCATTGGATTGCAAGGGTGACGCTCAGAGCTACAACTGGATACACTCGCTGTATAGTCCTCATAGGTGCTGTATCACTTGCATCCGACCTTTGTGTTAGGTCCTTATTGCGCCTAACTCACCAATATTATGGCCCTTATGTTCTTCAAACAGTAAGATTTGAATTTCACCGACAGAGCATTACTTTTAAACACCGCGTCGGACAGGTGTTTGGGAGCCAGAGGCGCGTGCGCCACCCATGGTTGCTCATTCAGTACTAACCTAGCCAGCAGCCCTAGGGCATTCTGGGAATTTTTTCAAAGATGGCTGCCTCTCACTGGAGGTCGTAAGAGTCCATTTCGTACATAACCAACCTCGTACACATTTAGAATTGGTACCGAAAAATAAAAAAATAGTTTTCTCGGTTGGCGCAGTTTTCCGCTGACCGAGAATACTCGGTTGGCGCAGTTAAGTGGTTAAGAGAGTTTCAGCAAATTTTAAAAACTGAGCTTATTGTCACACTTCATGACATTTTGAGCAGTTTAAGGGTTAAGGGCTCAACGTCCCTGCGGTTCGATCCTCGACCAGGCCTCAGGAAGCCTCCACTAGCTTCTGGTTAATTCCCTCTGTATCTCCCCGAGTTACAGACCTGGAGTCCTCCAAATCATAGGAACCACACCAGGCTCTACCTAATCATAAGTGCCTACCCAGAGACTAGAACCAGAATCTGAGCCCCTCAACAGAGGCATATGGCATTGATGAAATAAAATCACCGTATTACAAACTTTGCAAATAGGATCTGAGACTGTATGTGCCTATATGGTATGCATTTAAGAAGTACCAAGGAAAAGTAAATACAAGAGAGAAAGCCTTACTAAATATTCTTCAGTGCCATACAAGGACATAAACTGTTGGTCATCCTGAAGTTCTCGTGCAGCACCAAAATCAGTTAACTTGTATATTGTTGAACCATCGACATCTATGAACTTCATGATATTGCCTGGTTTAAGGTCACGGTGAACAAGGTTATTATCTCGTAAGTGCTTCATACCAGCAGCTGTAGGACAAAATAAAAAGAGAAAATTTGTTTATAATTAATAAATGTTTTCATAAAAACAATATGTAGTACTGGGTATATACAGTAATGAACAATGCATGCAGTATTTATAATATAAACTTTGAAAACATTAATTTATTTTTTATTTATTTATACAAGAGTTCTTACATTCTTGTACAGCCACTAGCATGCATAGCATTTTGGGCAAGTCCTTAATCCTAATACCTTAACTTTCAAACGACCCACCAAATCGTTTAATAACCAGGTAACCATTTTACTGTTGGGTAAACAGAGGATACAGTTAAGGACTGGTGCCCAGTAAATCCTTCCCGGCCAGGATACGAACCCAAGCCAAAGCACTCCCGAAACGCCAGACAAGTGTCTTACCACTTCACTATGGGGACTGCTAACATTTAATAACACTAGTCATATAAAACAGCCATATTACAATTAAATGATACTGTAAACTGTATTACAATATTTAAAATTAATAAATAAAATAATAGTAAATAATAATAATAATAATAAAATTATTATTCATTTAACAATCAATTCTACTGCTTAAAGGGCATATAATAATAATAATAATAATAATAATACTGTAGTATCTATGAATAAATGTGAAAAACCCAGCATTGAATGTAATGAAAAGACTTTCTGTAGAGCCCCCAGTGGCTCCCCAAAGCTAGCTTGCAGTGATTGTTCCATACTAAAGGTCAAATCAGTTGTGGAAGTTCATTTTAGCCTATTGGGGGACCAGGGCCAAAATGTGGTCCCCTGTCAGAAAAGATGCAGAGTAGGTAACACTCTGCCATCCCACTGGGAAAGCATTAAAAAAGTCAGTGAACCAACATACCACTGCTGCGTTCAAGGAGACCGAAGTCTCAAAACTGCTAAACGGACTTCCCCAAATAATGTAAACAAATGAACAACTGTCTCAATGCAAGCGAGGAGTCACAATAACGTGGCTAAAAAATGTTGACCAAACCACACACTATAAAGTGCAGGGACGACGATGTTTTAGTCCGTCCTGGACCATTCCCATGACAATCGACTTGAGAATGGTCCAGGACGAACCAAAATGTTGTCGTCCCTTCACTTTCTAGTGTGTGGTTTGGTCAACAACTGTCTCAAATGTAGTGAGAACTTATTAGTACTAACCCTTGCCAGTGTGTGGGGTGGGGAGGGGAAGCCCAGATTTCTAGGTCTTCCCCAGTGCTCATTATAAAAACATCTCATTTGAGTTAACTTAATTATCAGTACCAAAATAAAGTAAATGTGACCCTTCTACCACATATTGACATCTGGACAAAGAGAGTCAGTGGTAAAGGAGGTCAGCCATTGTTAAGACCAGAGTCGCTGGGGAGCAAGTTTAGCTCCTATAATTCTCCCTTGGATGAAGTGTTATGGAGATCAAATTAGTGCTTCTACCATCATCAACACGCGGTCAACATCTAAACAAGGGAAGTGTCTTTCCGAAATCTTATCTAGTCATTATTGGCCAGTAATGTTAGATAAATAGGATTAATACCGGTTAGGACATGAGGCAATGACTCAATACAGGTAATTATTTCTTGGTCCTTATCTAATAATATAACAAATGTTTCATCTGATATAGCTGTCATATATTAGAATTGCGGCTATACAGCTAGTGCCCTTTGACAGGAACATAGAAGAGAAAACAAGAATTAATCTTGGTACATCAGTTACTTGGGTGTTGGAAGCTAGCCTTGCACGAGGATTATTTGGTGTCTACATCCTAGTTATACCTGGTGGACTAGGCCTACCATACAATAAGATAAGACCTCCAAAATTTATTTACTAATATATGTAGTTTAATACTGTAGTTTGATTGACTGCATATATATAAATTTAATATAAACCCCCCCCCCCTAATGTGCAAGGAATCGACTTGTGAAAATATTGCAGGAAAACAGTCCGCTAAACATCATACAAACTGCTATCATTTAAAATATATAAATTAACGTAAATATAAATTCTATATAAATTCATATAAATTAAACAAATATAAATCTCACAGGTCGGTTCCCACACCACCCACCTTCCATAACCCACCCACCTGCCTGACCCACCCACCTGCCATAACCCACCCACCTGCCATAACCCACCTGCCTACCCACCCACCAACCCACCTGCCTACCCACCCACCAACCCACCCACCTACCTGCCCACCCACCAACCCACCTGCCTGAATCAAAACCTATCCCTGCCTGACCACCCACCCACCTGCCTGAACCTGCCTGCCCACCCACCCACCTGCCTGAACCCACCTATCCCTGCCTGAACCTGCCTGCCCACTCACCTGCCACCCACCCATCCAAAACCTGCCTGCCCACCCACTTGCCCTGCACACCTACCAGCCAGGCAGCTAACCACCCACCCATCCTCTCACACTAATTAATGTGTGGAAATTCAAATAATGTTGTTTGTGGTACAAACATTTTTGGAAATGTTCACTTTTGAACGTCCATGGTGAAAAGTATATTAATCTGGAAAACGTGCTAATCCGACTGGGGGGGTCCGTTCCATATAGTCCGGATTAGCAAACTTCTACAGTACTTACGAATGTGCACATCTTTCCTCAATCGTTGATGGCTTTGGTTACATTTACTAAACAGTTTACAACCATGAAAACTTCTGAATCAACTGTTATAATTATAAAAAGCCTCTTGGTGCTTCGGAGCTCATTAATTATTTAATACTTGTAAACAAAGCCGTCAAAGATTGAGATCAGATTTACAGGTTCGTAAGTGCTTGCATAACTGCTTTATGAATCCAGGTCCTGGGGAAGATAGGAGACGCAGACGATTGTAATGCCCTTCAAATTGATCTAGATAAAAAACCAGCGTTGAATGTAATGAAACGCCATTTTCTGGGCGAGTTCCGGAGGCTCCCCGGAGCTATCCATGGCTGATATGCATACCCTAACTATTTTGCATCATTCGATGTGGGTGGAGTTCTAGGCCTACCGGGGACCACGAGCAAGAACCTGGCCCCTTCAGAGAGGCACGGGGAGCAATGGCCCATAGAAATGCAAATGTGATTTGGAGACTTCTATATCTGCCATCGACCGGGACAGGCACCCAGAAAGGTAAGCGCCACAAAACAAACTCCTATTCTGGTTAACAACAAAAATCGACAAACGAGTGGACAGAACTCCCCAGGAAAACGAACTAACAAGCATGACGTCACACGAGCCTCACCGCATGTCTGCGCAGCTTCCCCCTCCCCGGGAGGGGGAAGGGGGAGCCCCAGACCCCTGCGCTGGTGATCCCCGCCCCAGTTCTTAGGCTGGATATCAAAACCGCGAAAAAACCCGCCGACCGGAGGGCGGGAGGGTGCCGGAAAGCCTCCGGGACTCACCCAGAAAATGGTGTTTCATTACATTCAACGCTGGTTTTCTGGGGGGAGCCCCTACGGCTCCCCAGAGCTACTTCACCAAAGACTACCTTAGAAAACAAGGGGACATACCCGGGAGGCGGTCGGTGAACCACTCCTCAATACGAAGTCGAGACAACAACCCAAGGACCACTCCGGAAAGCAGCAGGCACATCATTCACCAGAAAAAAGGGAGAACAGCCGCAGACGAAGAAACCTATGACCATGACCATAGGAGCCAAAAACCACTGCGCCTGAGAAGAGCAAGAAGCTCTGCCACACGACCCCCAGAGGCCAATGCCAACATAAAAGAAAACCGAGGCAAAGCAAATCTGACCCCAAGGAGCCACAACCACCAAGGAGAAGAAAAACATGAGAGCACCCTGTCCAAAGACCAGGACGACACAGGCAGTGCATAAGCAGGCCGGAGGCGAAACAATGCATGATACAGCGTGCGAAACGGCGCAGAAGGAATATAGATACCGAAAGCTAGCAGCAGAAACCAAGGTGCCAGACCCAGGAACGGCCCCAAGCGCCTCTACATCCTCCGCAAGCCAATCCTATGACAGCCCCAAGAGGGAAAAGAAAAACGCAGAACCAAAACGAAAATGCCACAAGCGTGCAAGTCCACCTCCACCAGTGCAGCTGACAGGGAAGAAACCCGCATAAGGAGCCGCCCTGCACCAACAACCCGCAGAAGGGCAGGAGCGAAAAGACTCATTAAGAGGAGCAAAATCGCCCCCGGGAAAATGAGTAGTGCCGAGACAGCGCGAAGAGAAGAGATTAGCTCAAAAGAACAAGAAGGCCAAACATCCAGAAGCTGGCGGGAAGAGGACCCACAAGCCCTAGAAAGGACCGGAGTGAAGCTCAACCGAATGACGACAGACGTACCAGAAACCGGGAAGGAGCAAAACCGTCCTGAACCTTCGAGAACAAAAAGAAGCAGACACGAAGGACAAAGGCACAAAAACCCCGTCGCACCCGAGACCAAGTCATGCAGAAATCCCAAGAAGAGGGGGGACATGACGGAGAAGGCCCGTCCCGGAGAAAAGGGGCGAAGACTGTAGAAAAGCACCCACTTACAAGACGGAAACAACGGGCACAACGGACAAGGAAACCGAGACCAGGGAGGGGCCGATGCCCACAAAGCACATGCAGAGAGGGGGAACGGAAAAACCCCACAGCACAAAACTGCAAGCCCTGCCCAGAGGGGTAGAACACCCCGGCGGGGACCAACGGGGCCCGAGGCCCCTCACGTTAGCCCCACCCCAGCCCCGGGAACCCACCCTGCAGGCCCCGGGGCCGAGCTGTCCCTTCAAAGCCCCATCGTCAAGAAAAACCCCGGGGCAGCCGTGAAAAACACGAAGGAAGGGAGCTCACTAGGCTCTGGAACTGGAACCGAAACCGGAGGATAGGCGAGGGGCGAGATGAAGACCCCAAGCACATCCCCAGCCATCACAATGAGGCGAGGACAAGACAGAGAATCCAAGGAACATGGAAAAACCAGGCCCGGCACGGCAAGACCTGCAAGGAAGGAGAGCTCCAGAGGGAGCACGGAAGGGCCGAACATAATGCCACAACCAACCCCGACACGCAGCTGC